CAGCAGGAGCAGCAGCAGCAGCAGCGTTTGTTGTGGTTGCTGGCCTGGTAAGCTTGCAAGTCAAGCTTACCCTCATGACCATGCGACAGATCGGAGGCTTTTGCTCTGCCTGAGGCATTCTGGTATATCTGGCTGTCAAAGGCAGGGGACGATTGCCTGGCGAACACGAAGCCTTTCCCCCCTTGTGGGAGTTGCACAAACAGAGCTGCTGCAACCTGAAGCCTTGGTGAGCAACACTCTGCAGGGACATGGTTTGCTGTTATCTTCAGCCTCTCGACCCTCTTCTGGATCAGTGTTGGTGGGAGATTCTTGCGGGCTCCACTTCAAGTGTTCTCCACCTCATCCGTGACGTGCGCTAACGACCGAGCTACCAAAACGCGTGAGCCTGTGATCGCTGGTGCCAGGCCTTGGCCGCTCCAAGCAGCTGGGCCAGAACTCGGAAGTTGCGTTTTCGGCTTGTGGAGGCTTCTGTTGCAGGGGCTCGAAGCACAGAATCCGAGGAACTTGACCTTGCAGCTCCCTAGCCAATCGCAGCAGCCGGACGCCGCAGTGTTGCTTGGCTATGTTAAGGTTGTGGTGCACCAGCCCAGGAGGTCACAGGAGGTGCAGTGAGGCTGCTCAACCACTCGAAAGTCCCAGGACGCGGCTGTTGGAAAGGAACCGCAATGTCGTGCCGCTGGGCAAGAGGTGTTCAGAAACTTTTGTGCTCCAACTCCCCCGGCCGTGGGTTGGGCCACCAACCCGAGTTGCCTAGGCCATCAGTGCTCCAGCTCGACGAGGGGATTCTTGAGCTGCTGATCTCAGTATCGAGGTGCCTCGGCGCCTGGCTTTGGTGCGAGTCTTCGATGAGTTCTTTGCAGTGCATACTTGGATCGTTGTGATCCGTTAGAAGCACCTCACTGTGCCTTTGTCTTCGAGCTTGGTGTATGAAGAGCCCACAGTGCGCCTGCCGGTATCCAACAGCGGTAAGTATTCTGCTACTGCCTCAAGCCGTCACGTCGCAACTCAGTATGCACGAGTGCTTCATGTTCGGGCAGTTCCTTCAGGCTGGCTCGGGCAGCTGTTGCTGTTTCCAACCCTTGCCCTTGAGCCTTGATTTTGGTTGCAGCGTGCAACAGTAGTGTCTTTTGTCCTTTGTGCTTTGAAGCTGCCGAAGCAGGTCGTTGTGGATTATGACTCTGTCCGACGTTAAAGCAGTGTTGTCGTGCCGACTCCCTGATATTTCGGTGGATGGAAGAACCCCCTCTTCACAGGCCGAGAACACCCCACTGAGCTTGCAGCTGCTGCAGCAGAAGTCTGGGCCTCGGCATTCTAAGACACACTCACACACACACACACACACACACGCCTGACAGAGCAGAGATAGAAGTGAGGATGATCCGGCGACACCTGATCCTTTGCCTCGCCCCCCCCCCCCACCCTCTGTAGATCCCGTGCCGCCGAGGGCTTTGGAGAACAATGACGTTTCCGCCTACAAGCTTTTCCTCTTCTCCGCTCTGGCTATGATGACCGGAATCGGAGCACGAGAAGGCTAGAAGATCTGTGCGAATGTCTCGGATATCGTAAGCGCTCGGCTCACAACACTGATGATGGTGTTGATCTTGGGGTTCTGATGAAGACGGTTGTGATGACGATGATGGTGACGGTGGTGGTGCAGCTGCTGCTGCTGCTGCTGCTTTGTGGTGGTGGTGGTGGTGGTGATGAGGCTGCAAGCGACGTTGCACAGCAGTCGCCGGGTTTGCTTATCTGCTTGCCTATTTTACTTCCAACAAAGTTATGCTTTTCGAGCAGTCTTCTGAGCGAAGTGTATGCGTTTCTCTTGCTGCAGGCTGCACTGGCTCTCCCTTCCTGAACGACGTTGCTTGCCAGAGCGTTCTGTTCGGTTTGGAGGCTCGTGTGCATTCGGTGGAGACTCTGTTTCCCCCTGCTTGGGTGCACACCAGGGTCGGAGGGGGTCATGCTGCCATGCAGTCTGTTGCAGGCGCTCAGGCACCTGCAGGCGAGGACGTGCCAGGAGGTCTACTGGAGTGACCCGGACACGACTTTACTGTACATCTCTTGATCTCTTGTTTTGTCGACCACTAGCAGTTTGCAATAGGCTTGGTCGCAAACTCGGCGACAGGACCGTGCAGGTGGCCATGAGCATGGAATTCAAAGCTGAGGCTACTTGTGCAGTTGGGGTCTGATGCTGGACCTGCCAAGCACCACCCTGGAGGCATGCTTCGAGGGTGTAGCAGGTACGATACGCGATGGTGTTTAGGGCATAGGGGAGTCCATACGTGCTTCAGAAGATGAGAGTCCGAGTACACCGACAGGACCTGGCCTTGCTCCGGTTTGCGTGCATCTGCCGCACACGTGACATGGCCGGCATCCGTAACCAGATGTTTCTGGAGTGAGCTTTGTTTCCTCGCACGGCGATTTCCGACTTCCCTACTCGTAAGATATTTCGCTCTATTTATTGTACACGTCTATTTCTGTTTCGTATGTGCAGTGGCTATGCTGTGTCGAGATACACCAGCAAGTTCGGAGAAGCAGAAGCCCGCTGCATCTGTGCAGAAGCCGTCTCCTGGGCCCGGCACGTTCTACGGAAAAATAGATAAAACCCGCCCGGCCCAGGAGGGTACGATGCTCTTCGCAGCGCCTCTTGGCAGGAAGTGAGAACGCACTAGAGCCTAGAGCCTAGAGTCTAGAGTCTAGAGTTCAGAATCCGTCATGGTTCTATCAAAATTTTCGTGATGCCCGGCGCCCGCGAGTTTCACTTGAGCCGCTGTGGTTGCTTCTCTTAAAGCTTGAGCTTGCTCAGAACGGATCCGCGAGGTTTTGGCGAGCTGGGCAAGCATGGATGCTGCCGACAGGGAAAGCATCACCGCAGCTCCTGCACAAGTTGATCCTCCCTAGCCTGAATGCTTCAGCAAGTAGTTAGGTAGTTGGTAGTCCCTTAATAAGTAGGAGAGCACCTTGGCAGAAGCACGGGATCTCATGATTCGGTAAGTCAAAGCGCCACAGCAATCCAGGTTTTCAGCTCAGGGTCCTCTGCGCCCTTGCTATTCCAAGGAGTTCTTTCTTGCAGATGGCATCCACTATCATGCCTGCCTTTTCAGCTATCTCCCGGACTGCAGCTGGGCTCGCAATGTGTCAGGGCTCCGGAGTATGAACGCGGAGCCGCACCGCTACTCATCACTACTCGTCCAGCTCGAGTCGGAGAGGCTTGAGCAGAGGTTTCCGAATAGGAGCATTCCTGTGCTCTGATAGCCGTCCCAATCCCAAAAGAAACCATGATGCCGACTCTTGTCCCGCCCAGCTCTGGAGTATCTGATGCCCCTAAGGCTTCGCCCATGCGCACAAGAGACCGGGCTGCAGTTTTCTCACGTCGTTGTGTGTATCGCAGGTCTTTACGCCCGGAGTGCCGACTTGTGATTGCAGGAGGGCGTTGATTGCGAGGGACTCTGCAACCTGAGGAACACGCGAGTGGGTCTGGAGACTCTGCTGAAGCTGAGTCATTGACTGTAAGGCTGCAAGTCTTGTCGCAGATGGAGTGAAGGCTCAGCTATTCGGCATGACGAGCTGCAAGATGCCACAGGTTCTGTTTCCTCTATGCCCTTGATCATGGGATCCCCGCCGAGCCCTAGATTCTGTCCCGAAGCCCTGTTACGGATGCCGTGCGACCCAGGACTCGATGCTGATGCTTGGAGATTTTCAGAGTGTCGGTCCATCTCTTCTGCTGGTTTCGCTGCGTGCAAAAGTCTGCATGGGAACCGAATACCATCGACCACGGAACCGTCATGGGGCCACAGACAGTAGCCTAGGGCCTAAGGGCCGTTGATGAGTAGGCATCGGAGGCACACATGATGCACGTGTGGTTATCTTATGTTATATTATGTTATATATGATATATATATATATATACACATACATATACATATACATATGTGTGAGAGATATACATATACATATGTATAACATAATTAGCCGCTCGCCAATCAAGGACTCTCCTGGTCGAGCTGGTGGAAATCACGTGGACCCAGCTGGCGGCTGCTTGGGCGCGTGCAGGATTCTAGGTAACCTCCCGGTCCATGTTCCTGGTCCGTTCCTGTCCTAGAAACTTCCACCTTCAGCCCAGCCCGGCAAGAGGGTTACAGGCATGAGGCTTGCCAGATGCAGAATCACTAGAATCTGGTGCAAAAATTCTGGTGATGGCCTCCGCGAGCCGTGTTTCTGGAAGAGGGCATCCCACGTTCCTATGATATCCCGGGGAAGGTTACGGAGAGTCTAGGGCCTAGCTGGGCTTTTCACGCGCAGAGTCTGCTCCTGCTCAGGTAAGCACGCTGCCGCATCAGGCATCTTGTCTCTTATCTTCTCGTGCTGCCGAGGTTTGTTCAAGAGGTCTCGCACAGTTCCGAGATGAAACTCTCATCGTGCTGAATCGCGCTGGAGCGCGAGGTCACGGTGAACCTTGCCGACCTTGCCTCGTTCACCATGGCTGTTCGCTCTCGCAGCGTGTTTTTCTCCTGCCGCCGGGCGGAGCCTAATAAAAGGGATGGGGAAGATCGGGAAGATGCTTAAACCGGGTTTTTCAATTTTTAACCACTGCAGAAGAGGGTCTGGAGTTCATGTAGCAAGCCAAACAGAACAAGCACTGAAAACCTGAGGCTTGGAACATGCGAAGATCACCAACCTGGGTAGTGGACACTACGTGGCCCGCCTGCGAAGATGATGTCGTCGGATTGTGTACGGTAGTGGGGCAACAGAAGCTGTCCATGAAAGCCCGTTGGGCTCAGGATGAGCTTGGCTTGTTTGGAAGTTTTTTCCAGACGGGCTTTTCGAACTCGTTCTGATGGCACCGTGTCATATGTGTAGCGTACTGTAACATGGACCCAGAGAAGCACCATAATGTAGACCTACGTCCACAGGTTGTGGACAAAAAGCATGTTCTCCACGTGATGGGAGCCATGCATTCCACTCCTGGAACATGCAGAGAAGCCCCTGGGTCCGACCTTGGAACAACGCTCATAGCCAGAGCCAGCTGCAAGGCACCAACCTGCATCTTGGCACGACAGCTGCAGGCAGAAAGTACATGAATCCGCTGTGCCTCATGCCAGTCTGGGGCTGCATACACGAGAACAAAACAATGTAAGAACCAACAGAGACGGTCTCAGAGCCCTGCGCATCCTTCGAGCCCGGGACTCCCAGGCCCTCAACATGACCAGCAAGAATTGGTCGAGAACCGAGGCCGGGCCAAGCACCATGCAGAATACTTAGCTCATGAAGAGCAAGAGGATGTTATTAACGGTGGCTGCCACCGCATCAAAGCATCACGAAAATTAGTGTTGTTGCCACCACCGCCACTCTGCTACTAGTACTACGGCGACGACTAACGACGACTACGACGAACGGCTACTACTTACGACTACTACTACTACTACTACTACTACTACTACTACTACCACTACCACCACCACCACAACAACCACCACGACTACTACTGCTACTGCTACT